CATCCATATATTAGTCAAACACATGATCTTTGATAAAAATTATATATATATATATATATATATATTCAAATATCCTTTAAATATGTTTTATTTCTTTAAAGTAATATATTTTTATTTTGTCTTGATTTTTTAATTATAACTTCAATTAATGTAATTCAAAGATGCCACTTCCTAATAATGTGTTCATTATTATTATTATTATTTTATATGTATACCTACCTTTGATTCTTTGTTTTCTACATCTTCATTTTTATTTATTTTTTTATTTTTTTGTGTCATGGTTTATAGGTCTCTCACCATAAGCAGAACTTCTTATATATTTGGTTAAATTTTTGGTCATTGAAATAAATTGTTCAATTCAGGTTTACAAACTATTACTTAGACACTTTATATCTCTAAAAAGTGTCTTTTGTTTATTGCTAGTGAATCATAAATTTTTTCTATGGTTTCAGTCTTTATTGCTTGGAATGGTATGCATGCGATAAATGGCAACGTTTAAGAGATGTTGTTTTGAAATATAATCCTCAAACCTTATAAATTTATGTGAATACATGTTATTGTTTATTTGTCTAATAAAAATGGACAACTGGACTTAATTCCAAGTGCCTGAAAGAAGAGGAAGGATGCCCCTCAAGCTCATTCCCAAACAATAGCAGTTCACACACCTCACAAATCCTGCAGAACCTTATTACGAAAGGTCTCAAAAGCATGATTCCAACCTCATATTCCATTCCAAACCCTAACCCTAACAGTGTCTCTCACTCTCTTGAAACCTCAATGTCTCGACCTCTCTCGTAGCCATTCACAGTAGCCCAGTAAAAGAATTCCTACCTTGAGGCACGTAGCTTCCCATAAATTTTGCACCCGTCAGAATTCAGTGGAACTCACAGTATGTTGGAATTAGGGCAAGATGCACGAGAGCATGCTGGATCCAAGCCTAACTTGCTTTTTGGTCACAAGTACGTCGCAGAGTTTTTTTAAAGTTTTCTGAGAAGTAGTTCATTTAAAATTAAAAAAAAAAAAAAATCCTACCTCAGAAGTTCCATCTGCAGTTTGTAGCTCCGACATCCTACAGGATCACTTGCACGCAATAAACTAAACAAAATTATAATTCTTTGTTCCTCTGAACAGCCTCCACAATTTGGGGAAGTCAGTCACCTCGCGACAAACTGCGCTGAGTGACAGAACAAATTTGGACAGTGTGTGTCGCGGACTGGATGCGAGTTTCTAACACAAATGGCGGCATGGAATCTAAAAGATTATCCTCTGTTTCTGTGACTCGACAGCTTGAAATGGCTCATAGAAAGGACCAGAGCCCGAGAAATTCGAAACAAATCGACAAATTCTCTCTCTCTCTGCTTCGATGGCACAGCCTTTTTGGACATTCTAACTCCCAGATGAGCTCGTCGGCGCCGATTACAATGAACGCCTTCGCATCTCGCCATCGTACAGTCCGCACTCAAGTAACCTGTATCTCTTTTGTGTAAAGAACGAAATCCCTTCACGGAAAGCATGAGAAGTGAGCGGAATGCGGAGCACCATCTGTGGTTTTAACTAACAGCAATTCAAGTGCATAGCGAGCAAAACATGACGACCAGAGGTTGATTCCATAGCCAACTGATGATTATAGAGAGCATAATAATACACCGTCCGCTCCACAGCCAGGCGAGGGCGGGCTTTGATGTTCCTTGTCAAGATGCTGCACGAGACATTACGCGGCGAAAGGAGAATGGAGTGACCATTATGAGTGCACGTTCGTTCCCGGCGGCGCGAACTCTAATCATGATTAGTTTCTCATTAGAGTCGGATTAGGGGTTGCGGAGGGAAAGTGTTAATTAGCCCGCTCTATACAACCCCCTGGGTCCGTACCCTCCACCCTGGCTTGCACCTACAGAGATGCCGCAAACTTACTTTTTCTTTTCCAAGTAAAAGTAAACATTACGAGTTGTTCCTTCCCAAAAACAAGTATAAAAAAAAGCAGCCGCTTAGTTCTTCATTGAAATTACATTAATAACACAAAGATCACGGCATTTCTCTCTGAGTTTTCAAACATTAGAGCGTGAACAACAAGTTAAATTTCAAAATTTCAACAAAATAAGAGGGTTCAAAGAAAATACGGTATTAATTGAAGTTATGTATTGCTGGTATATTTTAGTATTTGTGAAACAATGTTACTTGAGGTAAAAATCATGATGGGGATAATTTTCTTGTAAACTGAAAGATGATTCACAATAAAATTGATGATTAATCCTATTTTATTATTTATTTTTTAATTTATTATTGAGCTTCTAAATTAAGTCTAAAAACGTAATGTAATATTGTTTTCATTTGCATGTGTTCCAAACTGTAAACAAGTAAAATTTACACATTGCAACATCTTTCAGTAAACGAAAAATATATCATGCATTTCAAAATTAAAGAACTCGTCTTTATTGTTACTCACAAAAGTTGGTTCTATCTATCAAAAATCATACTTCAAAACATGCAGTAAAAAAATTGAAATAAAAAAGCAGCATTAAACAAATACATGTTTGTTACCTCATTTTCTTAATTCAAATTATCTTGATAAATTCTGTAGATATATATATATATATAGTACTGAAATGTTGAATTGCTAAGTTTTGGTATTACAGTATTAAAACTAACTCTTTGCAATACAATGGAATTATATATATATATATATATATATATATATATGCACCAATTATAAAATATTGGACATCACATTGATTTTTTTGTGTGTATGCATTAACGGTTCTTTACAAAATATATATTTGAGTTGTTTTGATTGAGTTTGAATCAAGTTCAAACTATTAATTAAGAATAAAAATTGTACCTTACAATAGCAGCAACAACTACATACACATTTACAAACCAGTTAAGGGGGTTTGATATAAATAGTTACAAACATTAAATAATATGGTGTAACTCATGCTGAATGTGGATGTTGTATGAGTGGTTTTGATAATCAATATCTACAAGGGGACAACAGGAGGGGTCTAAACTTTTTAATTCTTTGACTGGTTGAAATTGAGAAGAGTTATGATTTTAGTCAATTTAAAGATTTTAAAATTGTGGCCTGTTACTTTGCCTTGCAAATATAAATACCTCCTTACAGTGTATTTTTGGCTTCAAAAACTACTGTTGACATTTTGGTCAGATGTAAATTACCACATTGATTGTCGTTGTTTTTTACTATTATTACATAGAATTAACATATTTTCATCACGAATTTATATAGAAAAATTTATTTTTCAAAATACTGATATTTAACTGTTGCTTAGAATTAAATGCTATTTCGTGATATTTTTTTCAAAGTAGAAAATGCATTTTTTTTGCTCGTGGCAATTAATATGCTGACAGTAAAGACCATATTCACCTCATGTAACAGTCAATATACCCCAAAAAATTATTAAACAACTGGCAATTTAAAGAAATCTTTCAGTGATGTAAATACTCTGTTCCGGAAAATTGACTGTAATTTGTATAGTTTCAGTGTACAAAATAGGGAATGGATTTGGTAACATCAATTTATTAAATATTAAATCTAAGTATAAACACATATATAATGATTTTTTGCAGTGGTAGTTGTGGATTCATATTCTCATCATTGAGGATCCCGACAAACATATAATTTCCACATTATTGAAGTCCCATATTCATATGGTGGGATTTAGCTAGTGACTATTATGGAGGTTGGTGGTGGTAATCAATATCCTTACCTTGAAATTATTATTATTACTTTCATTAATAATAGTATTATTTTCAATTAAAATTACAACTGTATTATTTAAAAAATGTGTAGTTAAAAATAATCAGGAAGCAATACTCCTCCTTCAATGTTGAGTACAAAGCCTACAGGGGTAAAGACATGCAGTACCCGGGATGGGAATTGAACTCTGCAGATATCATGAAGTCACCATATTGGGTGGTCCTTTGGCAGGGAGGAGCTAATGGTAAATTAAAGAGAGAAAGGGCGGGAGAGGTTGGGGCTAGTCCAGGTGGGTCAACGAGGGTTGCCGTGGCATCCTAGTCCCGCCGGCGGGAGTGGCTGATATTGGCCATGGCTCTAGGCTTGGGTTTCAGACGTGGCAGTGCTGACATATGATGGACTCTCATCAATACTACTTTCTTTTCTTTTCTTTTCTTTTATTATCATTATCCCTTCCCCCAACTGGTCCTGCCCCGTATTTAAACAGTTATGCCCTGTACACGGTCACTTAACTTTCTCTCTCTCTCTCAAACACACACACACGCACACTATATAGATGTTATTATTATTATTATTATGAACACAAGACCTATAAATGGCAGAATAGTAACTCACACTGTTGCGGATTCAGTGTGTAAGGGTTGATTTTTACTCATTTATAATCACTTTTTTTAAACAGCTTATTATTGTTGTATCTATTGTAATTATTATTTGAATCCAATGCCATAAAAGTTCCAACGACGTACAAAATTTGAAGTAGTCCAACATGTTTGTGTTTGAGTGGATGATAAGCAGGTCAATGTTTTTGATTTTTTCATTATATCCTTTATATATAATCATCTTTTTATTTTGAGTGCCATCTAGTACGATGAATTTGATGGAGAGAAGAACTGGGGTTTGAATTTTTGTTTTTTTGGGGTGCTGCCCGTGAACTTCCTGATCCACATGCAGCAGCAGAAGCGAGAGTTGCAGAATCACGGGAGGGGTGGGGGAGGTCGCAGCGCACGCCCACCCGGCCCGGGTAGTTTAGACCACCGTTGGCCCAAGTCGATTTTACTAGGGGTCAAAATCCCCACCCACAACCCTAATAAAGTCTCTTTTCCTGTGGTGCTGCCATCTACCCTGGTTGGCTGCGCAGTAACTACGTATTCTGGGCTGCAGTATAGTGGGACGAGAAGTGACGGAGCTTCGGGGTGGGTGGGCGGGGGGGGCGGTAAGTACCCCCGGACTTGACGCAGTAAATACGCCCATGAGTGGGATTATTACCAGAGCCTCGTCTCCCCGTTGCCAAGGCTCTTTGAGTTCTTACGCACTGGAGCTTCCCCTTCCCCTCGTCGACATCGTCGCTTCTTCGTCCTTCATTCTCCACTCAGGACCGTTTCGTCTTTGGATCGCGGCGCGTAAGGTCTGCTCGCGCAAGCGCGTTCCAACTTAGGCGCACCCCAAGATCCGGTTACGGTGTCTTGTGGCGCAGAGTGGAGTGGGTTCTGAATTTGGTTCTGCAGTGAGTGATTTAGGACGTCCTGATCGCTACATGTGGGGGGGCGGGCACTGGTGCGAGGCCGCGGCATTGCGTTAGGCGAGATGTGCATCGAAGTATTTGTGGATAATTTCGCGGGTTTTAAAAGATATGCAAGGTTTTATGATCAGAATTTGAGCAAGTCAGAGAGGCGAACATTAGGAATTTTTTTTTTTTTTTTTTTTTTTTTTTTTTTTTTAATTCTTCTCCTGGAGGTGTCGGTGAAGCGGAGTGAGATGGTGGAATCAATTGCGAGGTTGAGGAGAAATGCAAATTTAGGTTTCGGAATGGGAGATGTCTGAGGGTGGGCGGGTGAAGTCCTCTTGTACTGGTTGTTGGTTGCCACTTCTGAAGGAAGAAGGCGTTCGTAAGCAAGTTGTTGAAGACGGAGGAGGTGTTTCAGAGTGGTGGAAGGGTTAATAATCCCTCTTTAATAGTTCTCCGGGGTGGTATGGAGCCGATGTTCATTTGATAGGGGTTTGCTTCTCCTGAATACAGACCGGTCCATGTGCTGTATTGAGTATGCCAAGGATTTCGTGTGTCTGATGTATGGAATAGTCGAGTTCTTAGGTTCTGCCAGTTTCTTGCGTTAGTCGCAGTAACATTGGAGGAAACCTGGTTAGTTGGTCTCTTGGTCTGCTGAAAAGTTCCGACGAATATCTCCTACGTTGAAAGGTGCTGTGCATGCGCCTGTTCACGTGAGTGCTTGGCTGATAGTCCTCGTGTACGCGCGTCCTCTTTAACATCAAGAAATCTTCTCCTGTTCTTGTTGAAGTCGCTGGTCATAATTTTAGAAGATTTTCAGCTCCTCTAGCTGTTATAATTTCTGTCGTGCCTATAGGAAACTCGTAATCGGTCGCTGGCTTTCTGTATTTTTACGTTGAAGTTTCATTTTGAACCACCTGCCTTTCAAGTTCTATACACTATACCACATTGGCTTGCTCAAGGAATTTAGATGTATGAAATCCTGCCATTCACTAGTGACTCAGTACGTACACCATACTCTCTCTTGTCTTCACTGGAGTCCACTGAAGTCTTAAACATCGAGCTTGCCTAGGAGGACGTGCCGAATCCGAGCTCTCTCAGCCGTAGGTCTTCTCGTAGTGCCACCTCAGACCACTCGCAGTTCCAGCCATGCATTCCCGTGGTCGTGCAGTATGGACTCCTGCCGTTGTGAGTACCGAGACAATAGCTGGTTAGGCAGCTTGTAGGCACTCTTTCGATTGTTTCGCATGGAGAATTAAGCCTTTGTAGATCTGCTTCTATCATCTGAAATTTATTGGAGCCATTATAGGTCTGTGGAGGTGAATTCCCTTTTCTACCTGTTCTTCCTGTCTCATTTGTTCTGGGATATTTGAAGCGCGAAGTTGTTAGTTGAGGTCCTGCAGTAGGATACAATTTTTCAGCATGAGCCTTTTCTGGACACATGGTTCAAAGAGATCACTGTTAGTCATGAGCAGCGGCAGCCTACTTACCGCACAGATTTTATCAACAAGCATCCCCTAGGCCTGGATTGCTTGCCATTTGGAGTTTCCTACGTCTATCACCTGCGATTGGGGGGGACGTGCCTGCTGCAGCGATGAGTGCCATGATCCTTGTCATCGGAGTCTCTTTGCAACAGCGAATGCTACTTGCGTTTTCTCTCTCCTGCTTCTTCTTGTTCGTCTTGCCCCTCTTCACGTGCGTTGAATCTTCAATATCAGGTTCGATACTTGATCCTGCTCTCTCCTCCCTAACAGTAGGCCGACTTGTTTTGTGATATCCATGGATATTTCGATACATTTACTTCCGAAGTTTACACATATAGAATGGTCTTCTGAGCTGATTAGCTCCTCAGTTGGCCAATACGCGTTCAAAAGGCCATAGAAAAAATGTCAATCGAGTATACATAGACTCTCTACTTCCGACTCTGAATTAGTAGACTTGTTCGTTCCATTATCCAATCTAATTGTGCTAAGTGTAGATATTTTCCTATCATGAGAACTAATGCAGTACACTCCTGGTTACGAAGCTCTCGCTGAAATTTCGATTAAATATGAAGTCCGACGTGAGTGGTCAATCTTTTAGCATAATTTAATATACCGAAATGCTTAATCATATAGACCTTTTGAGGAAGAAACTCTTGAAGATGCATTCCAAATTCGTGTCAAAATGGATTCCTTGTTTGGCTGTTTTATTTATTTATTTATTTAAAGTCATAATTTAATTTTTTTTTGGCAATGATGAATTTGTCCACAGATCCTCTGAGTCATCGGTCATTGTCGGTAGCTAGAAGTCGAACTTAATATTAGGAATATTGACTTCTCATCTAGTCAGCAAGTCTGGAGTCCTCGGTAGATCTGAAAACATAAGCAGTCCTAGTTCGCCTTCAATGAGGTTGATATTTTTTTTCTTCTGACAGCCGCAATTATTTGTCAGGATCACTGTTCTGACCATCCACATCATTTCATTCGTGTGTTTTCAGGACTTCGAAGCGCGAAGAACGTTATGGACTTCAATTTCAACCAAACAGGGTCGACGAGTGATTCCCCCAGTGTTGCAGAGATAACTCCAACTTCAAGCGGAAGATCTGTGAAGTATACGAATCGTAGATTGCTGGATGGTGGTAAGCAAATCTCTTTCGCACTCCGTTTGTTTCGATGGTTCTGTGGTTTAACTGAACAAGGAACAACCTGAGGCCGGATGAATGGAAGCGGAACTATAAAGGGTATAGATGGATTTATATGTGGAATTTTGGGTTGATTGCAGAAATGTGTACAAAGTTTGACATAAGCATATTTCAAGGGCCGGGAAGCCCGTTGCCGAACGGCATACCAACATTTAGTGTTCAGATCTTCAACCTATGCACAGTAGGGTGTCCGATATCCAATGTGCATGTGGCTTGTGGCTGGTTCGCGTCGGCCAAACTTGTCAACCCCAAGGTGTTCAGAAGATTAAAATACAATGACTGTCTTGTAAATGATGGCAATCCCATACCATATGGGGATAGCATCACTTTTCAGTACGCGAACTCCTTTGCATACCAACTGAGAGTTGAAACTGCCGTCACGTGTAAATGGCCATGACTGCTACTTCATGAAATAAAAGTAAATTCTCTTCTTTCGTTTCTAATTTAACTTCCTTTTTAAGTTCATAATCCTTAGAGTCTGTTCTGGTTGAACCTAAAATTTGCTTGACGTTGATGTGAAATCGCGGGCTGATGCTTTTTTTCTGATTTTCTTTTATTATAATCATGCCCAAACCTTACAAATTGATTGAAATTACTAGTAGTATTCTTCAATAAATCCTTTAACATGTCTGCGATCAGTGCAAACAGCGAGCTGTTCTATACTGTTTTGAACACGTTAGTGCGAGAACGAAGAGAGATTGGCATTTTGGTTATGCATCTAACAAGGTAAAATTTTAAAAATATAACTTCACATGTCATGGTTATAAGTGTTCACCAGTTTTAGGGAAGGTGAGAGCTGGTCATTTTCATGTCTTTACACTTCTCAGTTGTTCAAATGCAGGGTTGAAGTGGAGGTTAAAGTCACCTGGAAATATGCTAAGCCCAGATGAGATGGTTCAAAGGATTCGGTACACCAATTGTCGAATCGTAGCAACTAGTAAGTGTCCTTTCCCATGCAGTTGCTATGGGCACTGTGAACACTCAATGTCGAGCGATTACGGGTTTTGATGGTCTCAGCGGACAGGTGAATAATGGTTCTTGTGTGTTATTTGCAGACCTGTGTTCAAACAAAGATATTAGCATATTCCAGGGCCGTGATACCTCCTCTGGCATCCCACAGTGCATTGTTCAGATTTCCAACACTTGCCTGTCCGATTGTGCCCCATCAGACATCCATGTGTTATGTGGCTGGTTTGCTTCGGCCTTGCTGGTCAATCCCAATACTTTTAGGCGCATTGGATACAATGACTGCCATGTAAATGGAGGTAATCCGCTTAGGCTTGGGGACATCGCTCGGTCTGAGTTCGCAAACTCGTTCATGTACTCCTTGAGGTTCAGATCTGCAAAGTTTTGTTTATCGAAGTGATGCAAATTAAATTTTTCCTTCCCATCTGCGACGTTAGAATTGACGAGGAACTGGCCTTAGTCAAACTTATGCTTGGGGTTGTGGCTCGTTCAACTTACTAGAATGCATCGGACTCTTATGACGACGACCATCTGACTTCCTCCAGCATTATGTCCTAGTGTTTCCTGTAGTGTTGCTTAGAAGGAGAGCAAAGCCTGGCCAGTGGAATAATCGAGTGTACATTGTGGGTGATATTGCAGATGTTTGCACAAAGACATTAGCATTACTCAAAGACAAGATGGCTATGTGGGAAAATAACCCAGAACATTGTGTTCGGATAGTGAACACTTGCATTATCTGTTGTGCTCCCTCAGACATTCAAGTGTACTGTGAGTGGTTAGCTTCTTCCCACCTCCCAATCCTAACATCTTTGCACGAGTTGCCTACGACGACGTTTGCCTTGAGGAACGGGGTAGGTCTTTAAAGCACAGTAGTGTCATCCAGTTTGACTATTCCAGCTCGTTTATGTACCCACTATGCTTCAAGTCATCCTAACTTTGTACATAATATTTTTCGTTGTACATAATATTTTTTCTTTCCTCCTATGAAATCAGCATGGCTACTGCAGCTGCAAAATATATACTGTAGTTGGAAATGTATGTTTTGGTGTTTCTCTCTCATACACAGTTTGTATATGTAATTATGTAGCTCTTTCTGTTGCTACTTCTCCCAATGTTATGTACATTGTTTAGTATCCAAATTCAGTCTAACAGAATAATCGCTTGTGAATGCCACAACCTGGATTAGATATCTAATCACTGCTAATTGTGCAAGCTGTTGTGCCAATTTTTGCCATGTAATGGCAAATCTCTGGCTCACATCCATGCCTCTGAAAGGAACTATTTTACTGTCTTCCACCATGACTCTAGGTCATATCACACAAAATCTGAGACAATCAAGATGTGACCTGGACATCACATCTTCACTTCTCTGCCACAGCAGATTAACAAAGTGTGAGCTGATCACTAACATGCATGGGTCATCATCATGCCTCTTTAAATTAGGGTTTTTCTTGAAATATTTAATTTAGTTTATTTTAGAGTCATGACTAGGTTTTATTTTAGGTAATTAGGAATAGATGAAATTCATCTACAAACTTGTCTAAAAACATCCAACCTTGTCAAATTTGACAAAGTCTAGCCAATTGTTTAGAGTGGAAGTTACTCTTAAGCAAGAAGTCTATGAGGCACTGTTGATACTTATCCTTCATCCACTCAATCGTGGAGAAGCCAGATTTGACAATACTTGTGTTAAGAAAAATAGAGGCTAGCTTGTCATAAAATTTTGAAGTTATAGAAATTAGCCATTGCAATGAGTCCATCCAATATGAAATTCTATTTGCAAATTGGAGCACTTGTCAATGGTGTCTTTGAAGGTCATTTTTTCATGATAGGCATGCATCATGGCTTGGTAGTCTTTTTCAATATCCTTGATGGATTGAGCATCCTATCCAACCAATTCTAATTGTAGCATGTGTTGATGGATGGATATGCATAGCAAAGATGTCTATGGTACATACAAATTGTGGGGTAGCACTTTAAAAATGTCTTCACTAGTAGCATCATTATTGCAATTGAGTTGAGTAATAATGGATGCAATATTGTTGACAAGTCCATCAAATAAGGTTGCTATATTAGAAATGATGGCCTTGACCTTGGCTACAAGTAGCAAAGCAATGAGGCTCATTACAAAGGTCCCTTGATTTTAAATGAAAGTCTCTAGAATTATCAAAGCCATATATTAAGATCTACAGATGATCAAATTTGAGGCATTGTAAGCCATGGCTAGAGTCTCTGCACTATGCAAAACTTACACTTTGTACAAACCCACCAAGGATTGAATTAAGCCTTTGAGCTAGACTTTTTGTTAATTCAAAAGGATGCTTAGTTCTTGCAAGTATGTCACAATGGTAGAAATTACCTCTACAATATTGTCAAATGTAAGTAGTACAACCTACTAAGAAAAGAGAAGGATATATGTAAGTGACTTTTGCATGAGGTACTTGTAGATTTCTATGTGCCCTTATTACAAAAATCCACTCAATTTTTTTATGGATGACCATAGTATGTCTATAAATTTTGGACATGTATAATCCATCCTCTTAATGAGATTGTACTTTGAAAAAGGTAAGAAACAAGGTTTGTCAAGATATTGATAAATTAGTTGTCATGCAACTTAACATACTCAACTTCGACCATGAGATCAAATTAATGCAGAGTACACCACACTCACACAACTCCATCACTAGCCACCTTGACCATCCTTGTTGTGATGCCAAAAAATTATCTAGTCATTGTTTGCTTGCCATCCATTCTAATTCCAATTAATTGAATCTTCTATTTTGGAGCAACAACATCCAAAAGTATAGCATCCACCACAAAGATAACTTTAGTTGTCTTGCAATTGAAAAGTAGAATGATAAGAAGGTGGAGGTTGTATAACTTTGATTGATGCTCAAATCAAACTCGAAAGTCAAGATAAGATGTGCCTTCTTATGAGATAATGTCAAGAATGATAAAAAAAAAAAAAAAAAAAAATACTTAATATATGTGGAAGAACTAGATGTTTTTTTTTGTAAGCTTATAACACAAACCATCTTTACAAATAAAGTTACATAGTTATCACTACATCCTTTAAAGCAATCCATATGCAACATGATCTTTGTGATACCTATTGTCACGGATATACTCATGTAAGCTAGTAATTACATATATAAATAGGTGGAAGTAAGTAAAAATAGATAAAAATAAGTTGATTTTATAGTATTTAATATAGAAGCTTCTTAGAAGCTTCATAGATGCTGCTTTGACTTCATAGGTGTCTTTAATTGACTTTTTGGATTAGAAACGTAGTCAACAAGTTGGCCATGTGCCAAACATATTGTTACCTTGAAGATCAAGCTAACTATGTGGCCTACACGTAGAAAAACTTGCCTTGTAAGTCAAGGCATGTGTCCTACGAAGTCAACACATATTGGAGGTCCTATAGAATGTCTCCACATAGCCCCTAGTTAGATAGTATATATAGAGACAAGAGTGAAGCCTTCTTCACTCTTGTCAACTCCTTTCTTGCTTCTAGTCTAGTTTCAAGGGTCTCTAGTTTTCTTGTCTTTTGGCAATAGCCATTCTAGTTTCTCTTTCAATATACATACTTATTTATTTATATTTTGTTACCTTTCTTTGAGTAAAGGCTCACTTGTCTGAAATGCTTTTTCATCGAATTCTTGTCCTTGACATATTGACAAAAGTACACCTACAATATCAGAGCTTTGTCTAATCTTGATTAAGAGTGGATTATACCTTTTTCTTGATAAGATATAAGCATATTAGAAGTTGTAGATTACCCTCTTCTAAACTATTATTGTCCTTAGTATTTTTTTTGTTCCCAAGTCCTCTCTTCTATTTGTCTTGAGCGATATTAGACATCTTCTCTCTTCTAAGTGTTATCATGGCAAAACTTATTGAAATGAAGAGTGCAATGGCACAAATGCAAGAGCAATTGAGGGAGTTAATGCTTGCGATGCATCAACTCAATTTACCACCACAAGGAGCAACAAGATTGGCAGGAAGTGAAGATATAGAAATGGTTGGAGCCGCTTCAACATCTGCACCAAACCATGTCCTTTCTCCTATAGTGGAACGCCTTTCAAATGTTAGAGAACCAAGAATTGTCCTATCCGAGAAATTTGATGGTATCAGATCAAAGTTTTGAGGATTTATCAATCAAGTGCAACTTGTGATTAAACTTCAACCCCAAAGCTATTCAACTCCAGGATCGCAAGTTAGATTCATTGGTACCCTTCTTTCAGATTTAGCACTATCATCATTTTCACCTTTTTTTGAACAACGAGATCCAATATTGGATAATCTACAGGCTTTTTTGATGGAGTTTTAATCCATGTATAGAGAACATGATGCAATTCGTGATGCAACCAATAAGATCCATATTTTACAACAAGACAATCGATCAGTAACATTGTACACTTCACAATTTCGATAACTTGCAACTGATATCAAGTGGGATGATGCTGCACTTATTAGCCAATTTCTCTACAGATTACAATATGAGGTAAAATAATTAATGCTCAACTTACCTGATCCTCAAACATTGAGTCAAAAAATTGACTTTATTGTGAAGTGCGACAATCGCCTTTTTGAATTCCGATCTGAGAACCATACAAGTGCACCTCAACGTTACTATAATTCAATAGCAACACCAACATCTCTTCAACACATACATTCGAAAGTAGAGGATATGCAAATTGATGCAATACGTTTCAAACCTCTTAGTAAACAAGAAAAGACTCGTCATCGTCAAGAAGGATTATGTTTATAATGTGGAGAATCAAAGCACACTGCTCAACATTATCCAAAGAAACGACGTAATCACAAAATGAGGAGTATGGCTGTGAAAGAAGACAATATGTCGGAAAACAAATTTGTCCAACTACAATAGGGACCGTGTGGCTGAAACCTTGCAC